TTGAAATGCTACTGTTATTTTTACTGTCCCCAAAAAGCGCGTCGGCAGCCTCCAGGAATGCTTCTTTCACAACTTCGCCATCTTTGAAAGACTTCATGTGTTTCGCAAGAACGTGACTGACACGATAAGATGCTATGGTAGCAGCCTTGCTCTTGTTGTTGGGCCTGGAGAAAATGCACTGTTGAGGAACCTGCGACCCAAGTTTTTCATTCATTGCATAACTACACCGTAGTTGTGTATATGATATGTCAATAAACCTTAGAAAATCTTGAAATCTTGAAAGGGATGTGCAAAATAGTCATTATATACAGTCTTTAATTAACTATTAGTAGAGAATAACGACGAGTAAAGAATATACTTTATAGGGATTTTATTAATATCTAATAATAAATTATAAAATGCAATAACATGCTTTAACCAGTAGGTGTCCCTTTCTATCAGCTGTGCACCGTTATGGCGTAAATACAGCCTATCCACCAATTGGATCAAATATAAAAGTCAGCCGAATTAGTGTTGATACTGCAAGGAGACGTATTGTATGAAAAGAAATGTAACATGTTGTTTAATTGCTTATATATTTAAGATCCACGTCAAGTTTTCAGTTTTGGCGGCAGTTCCTGTTTGTCTAGAAGTCTTGTCATCAGGGCTCTATAAATAGAGTTAACTACGGCAGATATGTCATATTTAATGCAGCCGAAACGTGTATTACAATGCCGTTATGTGATGACTTTCAAAGAGAAAAGCAAGCACACTCGGAATAATGTATTATTTTCTTTCTTTTTTTTAAAAATGTTTTTCGGATTTCATATCGCATAAACACCATATCCCAACGTGCATTGCGGCTAAACAATCCAATCACCGAGCTTAAACCATAGCTGAGGATCTTGGGTAATCAGTTCAGTGGGTGTGTATCAGTTTCCGGTTATTTTATTTTGAAATTCAGTTCCTGACGGACGCCAAAAAAGCCAGAGATTATAGAATTAAACAAATAAATAAAAACAAGGATAATTGTGTGTTATTGTTGAGTAAATAACTGTGTGTTATTTAGAAAAGAATAACAAATTAGAAGGAAAAAAAGATTTAAAAAATACAGATTTCAGTATTCTGAGCCTCTGAGCTCCATTTCTTTTCCTCATGGACGGCAAAAAAAGTCCGACATTGTACGAGTTAAAATAAAAACAATAATCGTGGCTTGATATTGAGAAAGAACATGTTTTTATGAACCACACAGCTTCTGGTCTTCCAAGACCCGACCGGACAAAAAGACGTGTTGCAGGCACGAAACATACTACCAATAGAAATACATTGCTTTTAAAATCGTTCTGTGTGAAAATCGTGTTAGTGAACACGAATCAATAGATTAAATGTCGTGACTATAACACGAAATACCGTGAGACTGGGTTGTATATACTGTATGTGCCATTGAATGTTTTGCAGCACAATAAGACATTTGTGAAGCCTTTGTAACGGAGAAATTACCTAATAAACAGTTTTTTAATGTTAGGAATCTTTGCTATTAATGGTGACCTGACAACAAAAACAAACAGTCAATCATTGTGCACCATCCGTTGTTAAAGGTTTTAATTTTGTATATATATTTATATCATAGCAAAATTCTTATTAACTTTCAGGCTGAAGATGTGTTAATACCAGATGTCAATGTGCAACTAGAAAATGCATTTCCTGCAGAAAATGCGTGCGAATGCTGTAAACTGTGAACATTTGTTGCTGAATTTAGCTGAAAATGCAGAAAAAGCTGAATATGTTATTAGCTGAATGGTCTCTGTAGCTGCTTTTAGCTACAGAGACCAAGTCAGTGTGTTGCTGAACTTAGCGGAGAAATGCAGAAAAGTGAAATGTTTTGAATCAAATTGTTACGGCTCAAATGCATTGCAATGACTTTGTTGGAAACTTGGAAGTGAAATGTTAAACTGGAAGAGTAGGAAAAATAGTGAAGAAGCTTAATATTTAAAAGAAAAGGTTTAAAAAAGGTATAAACAACAACATGTATAGCCTTGATGTCCTGAAATAGCTGAATAATGTAATAGTTGAATGGTTTCTGCAGCTGAAAGTAGGCTGAAGGAGTTACATATCAGATGTAAGTACTGTAGTAGTGAATGAATGTGTATTAAGAAGAGAAAAGAAAGTAAAAAGGCTTGGGAAAGCAGCAGAATATTTTGACTGCAGACCTTTTGACTAAAACCATACGTCACCAATAATGTATAAAATAACATAAAATATGTGGAACATGTTGAAGTCAGTATGAAGTCTCCATCAGACAGAAAAGAATAGGCTGAGACAGTCTGTTAAAGTCCAGTCTGTTTGTCAGTGTTTGTTTCTGTGCTGAGCACCTAATCATAACAAATAATCATAACACCTGTGTGAGGCCAGAGATCAAAGGTTTCCATGGTGATGTGCAGTAATCAGTGAGAGGAGAGCCTTTCCATTGGTCTGAATGAGAGATAAACCTCTTACATTTGAACGTTTTGTTGAAGAACCGTAGCAGATATCGGTGAAATTTCAACCCGTGAAGCGTCTTGGGATCCTGATGAGCGTCTGAAGTGTGCTTTTTGTGTACTTTCGGGTCAATAATGTGGCCTTTTTGGCAGATTAACTAAAGGTGTGCGGCTGCTGTGAAGAAAGAGCAGGCTGTTTACAACAGGCCTTAACCTGTTAAGCCCGAGAGACCCCGGTACCGGGGTACTGCCGCAACATCTTGCAGGAAACAGTGTCTGAGGGCATGTTCATTTAATAAAACTATGAATGTTTTATATCCATGTAACGGGAAGAAACTCATCTAACTGATCTTTTTTTTTTTTTTTTCAAAGAAAACCCACAATGCTAACACTGAGCCTCTGAATTAGCAACGAGCGAAAATGCTAACACCTTACTGCACCGAAAATCACTCACAAAACCTTATTATTTATCTTTTCACCACATACAACACATCGATTCACATCGTGAGGTGACACAGAATCGTTTGACACCGACATTACCACTGAATTATACGTATTTGCGACGTTATAAGCAAAAATGGACATCAAAACAGGTGACGCTAGGTAGCTAAAAATGCTAAAATGTTTACCTTGGCTCTGTAGTCTCTCCAAAGTGGTCTTGAATGGCATTAAAACGATAAAAACGCTGCTGAAGTTAATCCATAGGTTAATCCAATGTGTCTGTGTCCCTTTGAAATGATTTCTGATAATCCATAAGGAATAAAACTGCTTTTCCGTTTCCAGATGTCAAAGCTAGAGATAGGTTCACTCTGATGCAAAATTACATGCGCGAAGCCCTCACCTTTTCTCTTCACAACGTGTGTGTGTGTGTGTCCCCCTTCGATTCTATTGGCTCTAACGGTCAGAAAGAGGTGTCAACCATCAAAATCGAGCAAGGGGGGGCCAGAGATATGGAAAATCCACCCAAATGACCCCAGAAGTGGTTTCTTTTTGCTAAATCTCTCTAAAAGGTCAAATGTCACTTGTTTTGCATCAATCTTGATACAGGGTACTTATTATATGTTGTACTTTGGATTCCTAAAGCTTTTAGTCTACCTTACCATCATCCAAGGGTAGTTTTCACTATAAGTAAAACATATATCTTTTGGACGGACACTGTAATTTACAGTTTTTTACTATGTAAAATCTGAATTTTCTTTAAAATAAAAAACATCTATATTGATTCTGACTTTTCTACATCCAACTCACAGGTTTATCATTACTTTGAGAAAAAAGATTATTAATTCAACCCTTTTAGAAGGGAAGATATGGTCATTTGTTCTGGGAATGTCATTTTCGAGCCTGAGACCTGAAAAACAGGCTCAGGGCTTAACAGGTTAATGGAGACATGTTGAACGTTTTTGTCACTTCATGCCCTCAAGAGGCATTTTGTTTAATTATTTTGCTTAATTATATTTTATTTTCCAACCTAGGAGAGGTTTTCCTACGTTTTTCATGAAAAATGATGTCCAAGGAGTGTAGGGTTTGGGAATTATGGCAGGTTTAAAAAAAAGAAATTGGGCGAATTTCAAAAATCTGAATAGCTGAATGTCTTGTGATCATTTTAAAGTTGGAATGAAGTCTCTAGCTGAAAGTATGTGGAAGGAGAAGCATTTGGCGCACGGTGTAGTTAGAAGAGGATTTGAAAGTTCCTCCCATTGAGTTACATGTTAAAAAAAGAGTTTAAAAAGCTGAATATTTCAAAAAGTATAACATATTTTGAAAAGGTTGAAAGTTTCCCATCATGTGCTGAAAAGGCTGAATAGTTTGACATTTGAATGGTTTCTGTAGCTGCAAGTATGCTGAAGTTATTGAGAGCCAAAGCATTGGTTGAAATAAGAAGAAGAAGAAGAAGAAAAAGAAGAAGAGGTAGAGGAAGAATAAAGATTCGAAGAACTATAGTGGAATGCTGTGGTACAGCATTCACACTAATAACAGACTGCTGGTTGGGAGCGTTCAAAGTTCAGGGTTCTTCTTCATGTGTCTCTCATTTAGTCTTTTAGTGTTCATCGCACACTTTTCAAATGAACAAAATCTGAATGAAAAGAACATCTATTTGAATGTTTGAATGCATCCAGCAAGGCTGAGCTGGCAGTCATTAATGACATGCTCACATTATTCTGAGTTGTGCTATAATGTGAGCAGCAGTCTCCACAGTCAGGTCTGTGTTGATTGGTGACTGAAGCTTGAAATGCTCTGCTGCTTTTTCCTGCCTGTGATCTTCTTTACCACTCTTCTTCCTTATGTTCTTCCTTCTTGTCTTCCACGTCTCTTCCGTTATCTGCTCATTCCATTGTCATTTGCTCCTTTTGTTTTTGATTTGCTCTGCCGCCTGCACCGAACCCTCCACCCCCCCTCCCTGTCCCTGCTTCTCCTCCCTTCCCCTCTCCCTGGTTGAACTGTTGACAGAGGCCACGCCCACTCAATATAGCCCCGCCCACACTCCTCCACCCCTTCCTTCTGGCACCCCCTTGACTTACTCCTCCTCCTCTGATCCCCCACCAGTGTCCCCCAGCCCGGGCGTTGCCCTCCCCTCTGCCCCCCGCGACCTGGTCCCTGTCCTAGTGTCCAGCCGATTTGTGCGCCTCAGCTGGCGCCCCCCGGAGGAGAGCGGAGGAGCCGTGCAGACCTATGGAATTTATTACTCTCAAGACGGAGTCCAGAGGTAAGATGGGATTTTTTGTATTGGTCTCTGTTTGGTCAGATTCTCCCTCTCTGGCAGTGGTCCAGCCTGGAGGTCCAGACACCTCCAGGCTGGAGGTGTCAATTTTTCGGACTTCCTTTGAATTTAGGCATTTTGCTAGGAAATGAATTAGTTTTTTTTAAGTGTTTGGTCTTAGGGCAAAGTATTGAGTCTACTGAAGTTTTGACATGATGATGGTACCAGAATGAAAGTCAGGGGATAATCAAACTTATCACAACTCATCTTGAGGGGGACATTTTTTCCTGGTACTACATTTCACTGAAATCTACTCAATAGTGAGACTCGGGCTGCCCCCTAATAGTCGACTAATCACTAGTCGACTAATAAAGTCTTAATCGAGCAATTTTTAATTAGTCGAATATTTGAAAAAAAAATGTATATAAAAAACAAATAAAAATAAAGAAGCTCCATCCGTGCGCTGCATGTGCTATGACACGTCAGCTGGAAACCCTCAGACTTCATAAAGAGCTGTGCCTGGTCATTATGTTAATTTGGTCGGGCAGGAAATCCAAAGTGTCGATCTTTCTGAGCATGTAAAGGACATGTAGACTACGACGGCAAAAGGTCTCCTCCATATCCACATCATCAGAGCGCAGCTTCCTGAATGCCGGCTTCATAACAAAACACGGAGCTTAATTTTCCCGACAACGTGTGTTACTTTCTCAGACTCATTGGAAAACAGCAGCAGTGAGTCAGGCAGTAGCCTAGCTTTGTATCAACCAGTGGCGGCTGGTGGAAAATATTTTAGGTGGGGCTGTGGAAATGGTGACCAAACAATACTGGGGGGTCCAGGGGGATGCTCCCACGGTAAAAAAAAATGAGAAATGACCCCTTAAATTATGACTTCTGGTGATGTTAGAGGGGGGGGGGGAGGACAAATTGAGGCTTAAAAATATGAGAATACTGATCAATACCTCCATAATCTTCAGTGTGGTTAGCTATGAATCTTCCAAAACTTCGAAACACCTTGTCCTGGACATAGTTTCTACAGCATAAACTGTGCAACAGTACAGTAGGCCCACACAAACTGCAGAACACCGGGGCTTTGGGAACACTCAAATGATTTAATTCCCATTTAACCTGTTAAGGGGCTTTTTCCCCCCGTTTTTTTTCTCACGAAACTGTGTCTCAGGGCTTCTTAAAATGTAATAAACTATTCATGTGTCATACTCATTTAACGGGAAGAAGCTCAGCTAACTGATTATATGAACCATTTTTACCGAAATAAAACACAAGTTTCACAAGAAGCTAACCTTTTGCTAAATGAGCCCTGAGCGAAAAAATGCTAACGCACTCTAGGTATAAATCGACCGATATACTTATCGGATATACACAAACAAGCTTATGCTAACAAACTGAGATTCCACAGATTCTAGAAATATAAGTATCATCACTGAGCGATCAGAACTCGCGACAGGGGAAGCAAATATAGACATCACACGACGTAGCTTTAGGTAGCAAAACACGGAGATATGCTCACCTTTTGCTGTTATTCTGATCAAAAGTCGTGTTCAATGGCATTAAAACGAGAAAAACGCGGCTGAAGGTTAATCCATAGGTTAATCCAATGTGTCTGTCACTTTGAAACAATTATTGATGATCCATAATTCAATTTTTATGTCAAAAACTGAGTTTTCATATTAGCTGCTAATGATAGGTTCCAGAGTGTATGACAGCTCCCTGTTTTGTCTCCTTGGATACGAGTCAAAACAACTCACAGATTGTCTTGGGCCGGGCGCTGAAATTGTAGCCCTTGGACCATCAGATCTGACGACGCTGATTGGCTGAAATTAGGTTTCGGCGGCATAGTACTTTTCAGGTAGCAACAGTCAGCACTTGGTTGGCTGCTGCTGCACTTAGGGCTCTTTTCTTAGCGCCCAGACGAGAGAGGGTAATGATACACGGGCAAAGATTTCTGTGGCCAGGCAGGAAACACATGACTTATCAGTAACTTTAGACATCGTAACACAATTTTAAACGAGATTTTATTGTAGATTATTCATTTTTCTGATACCAATTATATAATATGTACCTTGTTTATTTATTTATCTAAAATGTGGGAAGAGGGGGGGGGGCGGTGCCCCTAGCGCCCCTATGGGCCGGCCACCACTGGTATCAACATATATAGACCTATAACACATGGGCGTAATTTCCACTGGGGACAGGGGGGACATGTCCCCCCCACTTTTCAAAATCCCATTTGTGTCCCCCCCACTTTTTAAATGTGTTTATTATTTTATTTTTTCGCAAGCGGTCATCGCCACGGAGGAGCGTCTGTGTGTGTGGCACGAGCGCATCTTGTCAGAGAGAGATAGAAAGAGAGAGAGTGACATAGAGAGTTACAGGGGTTGTTGTTAGCATTTGGTGCTAGCTCGGAGCTAACGGAGATTAGTAGCTGTTTCAACAATAAGGAGAGGGAGAGCTCTCTCCTGTCGGACTTTGAGAAAGAGAGAGGAGAGAGGAGAGAGGAGAGAGGAGAGAGGAGAGAGGAGAGAGGAGAGAGGAGAGAGAGAGAGAGTGAGAAAGTTCCGGGGGTTGTTGTTAGCATCTGGTGCTAGCTCGGAGCTAACGGAGATTAGTAGCTGTTTCAACAATAAGGAGAGGGAGAGCTCTCTCCTGTCGGACTTTAAGAAAGAGAGGAGAGAGGAGAGAGAGAGAGAGTGAGAAAGTTACGGGGGTTGTTGTTAGCATCTGGTGCTAGCTCGGAGCTAACGGAGATTAGAAGCTGTTTCAACAATAAGGAGAGGGAGAGCTCTCTCCTGGGGGACTGAGAGAGATCACGTCCGCTCAGTGAGCTAAAGGACTCTCTGAGGGATTAGATTGTAAACTTTAGTCTAAGTTATCTCAGTGGGTCTCAAACGGTTTGGTCATCTTTGTAAACAAATATTTCCATCTATGTAATATTAGTTGTATATAAAACAAGTTAATAAATCATTCCACTGTGTGCTATAGGTCAGTACAAAATCAAAAACACAGTTTTAAAGGGGAGTGATTAGTAAAATATGCATAAATAAAAAGAAAGGATGCAGACTAGGTAAAATACAGATAGGAGAGAGGAGTTGATCAAATATGTGTTATTGCTTGTGAGCATATTCTAATGGATTTTTGATTATTGAAATATATACAGTTCTGTTTCATATGAGTGTTGAGAGCTGTATCCATACATCTCTTAATGTATGTATTAACATACACTTTGCACCACATTGCATCAATCTGGTGCAAAGTGCATCAGATTGATGCTTTAACTTCAATGTAAAGAAATAAATCTTCTCGGGGTGCATGTCCCCGGACATGAGGTGAGTGATAGAGTGTCGTCTGATTGGTTGGGTGTTGAATAGGGAGGTTCCTAGAGGGAGATGCTACGAGAGAGCTGAAGGAGTCGGGTGAGAATAAGGATTTAACCAAGTTTTTTCATTGTTTTGGCGTGGTTACGGCCAACAGTAACCTGTGATCGTTATTAATAAACTCCTGGATAAAATACATACAAAACCTCCCTGTGTTCCTATAGTGAGACGCTACAGTATAACGGTGGTGTTTTCTCCTGGAGGACAAGGGAAGCCAGGCTTCCCCTGTTTTTTCGGACTGTAGTTATCATTTTAATAAAGAAAAAAAACACTTCATTTTGTTTCGGTAATTATTCTGTGCTGTGTGTTGCTGCCATCTCTCCCCCATTCTCATTGAGTATTTTACAAAGAGGGAAACAGCGCCCCTCTAGATGTTATGGTGAAACAGTATATTGCACTAACTGTTGCGAGAGGAGGCCAGCCGAAGGCTTCCCTTGGTGAAAAAAAATGGATGGATTGACCAATCAGATGAGGCTACCGTCATGCCCCTGCCAACCTGTGATTAATCAGGGCCATGCAAAGGGAAGGCAGAGGGTGGGTGGCTTCCCTTGGCATGGCCCTGACTAATCAACCACTAGTTTTTTACTTTTGGACTAAAGACTGAGCTAATTACAGAGACGAAGACTGCTGCTGCACTTGCTGTGTGTGAGAGGGAAGGGAAGAGAAGGTGGACTATCACATGCAATGTTTCTGCACTTAACTGAAGTCATGTGTTTCATACACGTAGCCTACTGATACTTTGATGTGAACGTACAACTTTAAAAGTCTCCTGATTTAGTTTGTGAATGAATGCTTATTTTTTATTCATGAAAATGCATGAATTAATAAGACGAGAGACTTTCAGCCGGAGAGTGCGTGCGGACCTGTCGGTTAGATAAAAGGCGTGTGCAAGTCCTGCGTCTGTATGATACAAATTTGTGTAAAACTATACCGGGCGCTGTAATAACTCATCTGGTTACGTTATTACATTGACCCCCCCCAAAAAAGGACATCGATTATTGGCTTCCTCAAATGTTTACCCCACGCCACGCTACTGCAGTATAATCATTCTGACCTCAGAAAACGATAAAGCTTTCATTTCATGAGAGGGATTTTTGCCGACACTCATATGTTCACTTTTTCTGTTTCCTCTGTAGTATTTATTTGATATGTTATGTGAAGCACAACGTACCATGCTGTTATAACAATGCTCTTTATCAGCCTTTGAAACTGAAACCATTTTGGGAGAAAAAAAAGAATAAAAAAAAGTATATATATTTATAATCATAATATATCATAAACGTGCGACGATTAGTCGACTAATCGCCTTAATTGACGACTATTGGTAGACTATAACATCATTTAGTCGAGGGCAGCCCTAAGTGAGACATTTCACATAAAAATCAAATGTGAGCCTTATGAGTTGAGCAAGAGGAAAAAAGTATCAGAAGCTTTTGAGTCTATGCGAGTTTACCGCCAGGCTCGAATCCACCTGGATTGGAAAGGTCTTACCTCTACTAACTCCTGTAGATCCAGGTTGAATCAAACTGTTTGAAGGCAGACGATATTCTAAATCCGTTTAAGCGATCCCGTAGGATTCTGGTATCTTTAATGAAGTGTGGCTCAACCTAAGTGTGA